CTTCCATCAAGTAGTCATAAGTCTTCTTATCTACATTTGCTATATCTGACATGTATAGGTCAAATTCTTTGCGCTTGTATACTCTTGCAGCACTTTGGAATAGTTTTATGACCTCACTTTTCACCTTCCTTCGCTTTAGGTTCTGCTCCAAATGATAGATGCAAATCCCATGATGGCTTTCAGGATATACCTTTGCAATGCCATTTGCAATAGCTTGATGCCCGTCTGATAAAAAAATTAAATTCTCACGGCTCCCAATTGCATTGCGAAGCTGACTAAAGTACCACTCATAGGAATTATTATTTTCAGATTCTGCTATTCCAAAGGCTAATGGGAAAATTTGGTTATTTGCATCCTTTGAAACTGAAATCATTAAAACACCACGATATTTTGACTTCAAAAAAGTTGCATCAACAACAATCACTGGTCTACAATGATTCCAACCAGCTATTGATGATCCATATGCATAAAACATATAAACAAACCTGAAAATATAATATAAAACAAGGTTAAAATACCTGAAATTTAGGACAGTCAGTCCTTAACTTTCATTTCCAAGTTATAAAGTTAAGGACATGATGTCCTTAACTTTGATTTCAAAGTTCAAAACTTAAGGACTGACAGTCCTTAACTTTCATTTCCAAGTTATAAAGTTAAGGACATGCTGTCCTTAACTTTGATTTCAAAGTTCAAAACTTAAGGACTGGCAGTCCTTAACTTTGAATTACAAGTTCAAAACTTAAGGACAGCCAGTCCTCAACTTCTGGTTACAACTCAAAAGTTAACAAGGTTAAAGATAGCATGCCCTAAATTGTTTACCTGTTATTGTCGTCTATCTTTATGTTAGTATAAGTTCCCGGGTTTTTACTTGTCATCATATACAAGTATGAGAACAATAATTCATAATTCTCTTCGGGACTTCCTCTTATTAAAGAGGAAGCATGTTGAATAGCACGCCACGCCTTGTGATATCCAATGTCTAGTCCATGCAATTTTTGCATCTCTGCCATGACAAAAGCTGGTGTAACTTCAAATCTTGGGTCCCGAAGATTGTCGATAATGTAACCACTAATCAACTTTGAAGTAGCATGCCTTTGATCTGCTTTCATAGTGTTAACAGAGCAGTCATGTTTTTTCTCAATCTTTACTATCTTGAACAGTGTTGAATCTTTAATTCTGAAAGCTCGCACACACCAACAACACCTATCATCATTGCATGTCAACGAATATCTTGTTGAGCTTGATCTAACAACCTTGAATTCAAAATGTCCTTTGATTGCTATATTGGAAAAACAGTTAATTATACTCTTCTTCTTGTCAAATACTGATCCAACTTTTATTTCATCCAACGAAGCATTTTCTCTTAATATCGTAGTTGGGGATTCTTTTTGTTTCAAATTTGATCTTCGTCTAGTTATTTGAGTACATGTTTTTTCAGCAACTTCTTCGATTACCGGTGCACTCTCTAAGACTTGAATACCCAAAGCTTGTTCGTTGTCAATCTCTATAATGCTTTGTCCTTCTACTTGAATAGAATCAAATGTTTGAAGCACCTCTTCATTTAATGGTTGAGCTTCAACCATATCTATTTCCATTATCTGTTGGCATTTGTCTTGATTGTCATGTTGAGTTTCTGTGTTGACATGTTCATTGCTTGTTGATGGAAAAACTCTTTCCGAAATATCAACTATGAAACGACAGCCCTTGAAGAGTGAATGTGTTTTTAGCAACTCTATACATGTGTGAAGATCAGTATCTTTGGATACAAGCATTCCTTTGCTTGTTCCAAGGTTGATATCAAACCATATCACTGCTTCAAACTTTTCTCTATCCAATTCAATTAGCTCAAAGATCTGTTTAATGAAATCTTCAAACCGAATTGACTCAGGTACTAGAAAAAGCTTTGTTTGATGATCAAGATATTTATAGTCTTCAGTCCATCTACCATTAAAAGCAACTATAATGCATATTGTTTCCATCCTGCAAGTCAAGAGAATGGGAAACTGAGGACATACGTTATAAAGCACTCCTTGTATAATTAAGAAGAGGTGTACTGTAAGTGCAAGACCAAGGTAAGGACTAAGTGTGCTTAACATTTTAACTTGGAATTAAAAGTTAAGGACTTCCAGTCCTTAACATTTAAACTTGGAATTAAAAGTTAAGGACTGCCTGTCCTAAACTTTTTAACCTGCAAGTCAAAAATTAAGGACTTATGTCCTTAACTTTTCANGCGGGGTACTGGAGGTACCGGTTTATGTGTTGCATTGCATATTTACTTGTTATTTATTCTCCTTCTGGTGTGACTTTATTATAATTGTTTTTAATGTTTATCGTATGATGCTATTGGTCCACGTTGTTGTATTTATAGCTTTACTTTGTGTTTATTTAGGATTTCTGATCCTCAGACTTTATTTATATTTATTACTTTCTGAGTTGGAAGTACTCACAATACTCCCTGTACCTTGTGTGCAGATTCAGGTACACCACAGGGTGAGTGAGGACTCGTGTTAGCTGAGCAGCATTATCCGGGAGTATCAAGGTAGCTGCATGGCGTTCGCAGCTCTGATCTCTCCCATCTATCTTTATTATTTTATTCGTAATTTTCCTAGTCGAATTTGTAATAGGTGGATGATCTGTTTTAGAGGCTCATGTTCGTGACACCAGATTCGGTGGGCTATTTAGTATTTTATTTGGGGTTTTCGAATGTTAGAGATTATATCAGAATTTCCGTACTAAATTGGTATTATTGTAGTGAACATTTATTTATTTATATAGGTTATTTGGCTAAGGTTGTGTAAATGGTCGGGCTTGCCTAGCATTGTGTTGGGCGCCATCACGACCGGGGTTTGGGGTCGTGACACTCAGGTACTAGAAAAAGCTTTGTTTGATGATCAAGATATTTATAGTCTTCAGTCCATCTACCATTAAAAGCAACTATAATGCATATTGTTTCCATCATGCAAGTCAAGAGAATGGGAAACTGAGGACATACGTTATAAAGCAATCCTTGTATAATTAAGAACAGGTGTACTGTAAGTGCAAGACCAAGGTAAGGACTAAGTGTCCTTAACATTTTAACTTGGAATTAAAAGTTAAGGACTGCTTGTCCTTAACTTTTGAACCAGAAATTAAAACTTAAGGACTGCCTGTCCTTAACTTTTGAACATGGAATTAAAAGTTAAGGACTGCCAGTCCTTAACTTTTGAACTTGGAATTAAAACTTAAGGACTGCCTGTCCTTAACTTTTGAGCCAGATATTAAAACTTAAGTACTTCCAGTCCTTAACATTTAAACCTGGATTTAAAAGTTAAGGACTGCCTGTCCTAAACTGTTTAACCTGCAAGTCAAAACTTAAGGACCGCCTGTCCGTAACATTTAAACTTGGAATTAAAAGTTAAGGACTGCCTGTCCTAAACTTTTTAACCTGCAAGTCAAAAATTAAGGACTTATGTCCTTAACTTTTCAATCTATAATTCTAACTTAAGGACTTCCTGTCCTTAACTTTTTCAATTTGAAACTCAAACTTCAGGACTTAGTATACAGAAGAACAACAACAAAGTGAAGGACATTGTGTCATTAAGTTTTTCAATTCAATTTGCAAAATGAGGACAGTAGAATCAAAGTTAAGGACATTGTGTCCTTAATTTTTGAATTCAATTTCCAAAATGAAGACACTATGTCCTTAATATTATGTGCTCAAGTTTTATAGAATTATCATAGAAGGCGATGTCCTTAAGTTTATCAATCCAGAAATTCAAAAAAAAAATCAAATTTTTATCTATTATATAATCGAATCAATACAAATCGGAAAAAGTATAACTATATCGAAGTAAAAATCGATAGAAACACATGAAAGTATAATTTACTGTTTATCTATGTCGATTTTTTGGATGAGAATTTTGAATTTTTCGTCCAGTCGCTGCTGCTGCTGCTGGATCGCCGGCTGCTGCTGATGCTTTTGGTTTTCGTCGAGTGTGTTATAATAGCGTAGGTATAACTTATATCAGAAGGGTATTTTCGTTCAGTCAAGTATAAGTTTATTAAAGTAGTGGCTAAAGCCTAAATACATTGAAAACAGTGGCTTTAAAATAAAAGCAGCTGCTTTTAGTGGCTATTTGTGCACTTCCCCCTAGGAAATAGCAGGTACTATGCAAACTCGTCCAAAGTTATCAAAACAAATTAAACACATACCCCAACTTACCTTATAATCCATTTATCCCAATTTCTACATCACAAACGTCTCAAAATGTTTGAAACTATTCCACTAAGCATATTTACTTATACAACTTTCAAGAATGCAAATAAGTTAAACTATTAATTTTTAACATTTTGATGTGACATTTTTCTATCCAACCAGCTTTTCAATTATTATTATGATGTGTTTTTTCACTACTACTAATACCATACACAACCAGGTCTCATCAATCAAGATCATCACAATAGTACTTTTTGGCCTTGTATTCCTAAGGTGTTGAGTAATAACCAAACTTAGCTATGCTTTAGACAAGTCCAGAACACCAGTACTGACCAAATTACTCCACAAAAGCAATATAATCTCTAAGGAAAAATGACTAGAAATAACAATAACATAATGCGACAGTTCAAATATCTAAGTTCCAACATAGTTTTCAGCTATTAATGTAATTTCAAAATGTGTTTAACGTATGTTGTCTAAATCTTTTTCCAAGTTACACAAAATGTTAAAAGACACAAGTCAAATATTGTACTAATAGTTACACTAAACAAACTACAGGAGCATATGGTGTACAAGTATGTTTGTAGCTAAGTTGCGCGGATTATTCGATTTTGGTGCCGTCCCCGTCTCGTAGCCCCGCCCCGATACGAGACGGGGACGGAAGCGGGAACAGGATACGTCCCGGATTCGGTCAACTGACTTCGGACGCTTTGATCGGAGTCCATCGACAAATTTGAGAGAAAAATTGAGATTTTGATTTCTCAAAATCGGAAATAGAACAGATTTAGGAGAATGAAAGAATAATGTCTCCATCTTGGAGAATGAAAGATTGAATTCTACAATATTCATGTAAGTTTTTCACAGAATATCTCTCAAAATTTACAATATTTTTATAGCTCTATTTTTTATTAGCCAAATCCCCGCACCCGTATCCATATCCGGATCCGCACCCCCGAATCTTAAAATTTAGATTTTGCCGAATCCGATACTCGGATCCGTCCCCGTATCGGATACCCGCACCCGAGTCCGAGCAACTTAGGTTTGTAGCCCCTCCTGCACCAACCTAGATATAACAGCCTGAAAATCCCCCATATGGTTATTAATTCCTGAGTGGAAATGTATAGGGACTCGAACCAAACTCATTGTTGGGGATGGGAAAAGATCTGAATGTGGATTAATCCTTGGCTTGACCAGATTCATATGTCCCAGTTAGTTCCTGCAGTGTATGTAAGCACAGAGGCTTTGCATGAAACAACATATTGTTGATAAAAAACAAAATAATAGTGATAGGTTTCAAGCATCTTCCATTGAGAATCACTTACTTAGCAGCCAAAACAACATAATGTTGGCCATCTTTCACATGGATAGAAGAAACTAATATCAGGACTATTTTTGATATTCCAAAAATAGAGTGCTCTACATAACACCATTACACATGTTGCACTAGAATAAACTTTAGAGGCAACCATGACAGCTAAAAGGACTGTGGTTGATAAAAGAAGGCACGAAAAATACAAGCAGACTGATAATACATTTTATCATTGTGCACGGAAGAATTTACATCCATCACGAAGCAGCTTACAAGTTCCATTTGGCTATGTTTGTCACCTCTTAGGGACCAAAAGGATCATATCATGGTAAATTCAAGATCCCAGAAATATGGGCTTACCTCACAAAATAATGCTGCTAATGCTTTTCTCGGGCTATTCATTGTTCCAATAGTTCCGCAGCTGAGACATATGCAGAAGCAGCTCATCCCTGCCCAAACCAGAGACACTACTAGTCATTATCCATGCAGGTGGATGCTGATAATTCTGCCTGATCAACTCTTGGAAATCTCTAATATTCTCGTCTGGCCTTTTTGCCTTCCCTCCCTTCATTTTGTCACACTTCGTGAAAACGAAAGTTATTGGTATCTGTAAATGTGTTGCAAAAGTCACTTATCGTGGAAAAAATGTTGTATGAAAGTCGACAATGGTAAGATATGACTTATTTTATAAGTAGTAATGGGAGTATATGACTTCAATTAGCCACATGAAAAGAATGGAAACCTTATTGCGTCCAAGCCAATTAGCACAATCAAGGTCAATCTTCTGAGGGGGTACACTAGCATCAATTAGAAGCAGAACGGAAACCAAGGTATCTCTATTTAAAAAGTAGCCTTTTGTGAAGGAGGACCAATCCATTCTGGCAGCTTCAGAAGCATTAGCAAAACTGAAACAAGCAACATGAATAACTTAGAAGTAGACAAAACAGGTGGTTTCCATATTAATGCAAAAGATACAAAGAGCTAAGTGATGGAAAAACATAACACGTTACTTGACAAAGGAAATAGGAGAGAGTGCAAACTCAATACGTAAAGGAGAGCTTCTACGACCTTGCTTGAATCAGGGAAGGGGAAGTTAAAGGGGAGAGAATCAGATACAATTATTTTGATGAATGATTTACTTCTGGCTGTTTCTAAGGATCAGAAGTAGACACTAGAAAGCAGAAAGGAGATTCCTCCATACATGTTTAATTACCAAATACGGGAAATGATTACTTTTACTTCGCTTCATCATTTATTCCTTACCAACCAAGGGAAATGACCTTACTCCTACACTTTTACTTCCATTCTCTCCAACATTTTCTCATCTCACTCCACCCCCAAACCAAAAACTCCTAAAGTAGGAACAGCTATGGTCAGGTTCTACAGACTTGTAACCATTAAACAGTAGGAAGCCTATCGAAATCTATTAAAAATAATAATAATAAATAAATCAATTATAGCCTTCGTAACCATTTGGCAGGTAGATTTGTAACTTAACAAAATCTTATTTAAGTTACTACAATACATCTTCAAATAAATGTCAATAATCTAGACTGTTTTATCAAGACATGAAGAAGAACGGACATGTCTGATTGTTTGGTTTAGCATTTACAACAGTTCCACTGAATTAGGTTGATGCCAGCTGAACTGATTTGTCTAGGCAGTATACTAACTGTAAACTGACTTGTGATCTTTGGATCTTATCAAATATGCTAATTTTCTCCCTGATGCTCTGTTAGAGACCATCTATTTCTGTTGTCTAGAGACTATAGTAGTTATGTTTTAGAGTTTCCTCCTCCTTTTAACATATCTAGAGTTGCCTCAGATAGCAGTTTTATGTGTGGTTTCCTGCTCTTGAAAGTGTAGAAAGCTATCAAAAATGGAAAAGTCATGTCTCTCGCAAGGGGTAAAATATGGAAGATTATTTCTATGACCTAGTTTATTGCGTCAGCAACTATGGCAACAAGGTATAGTTAATGGTTTAGCAGAGTACCATCGCATAGTTAGAGAGAAGACATTGCAGCTTCTTGAATTGAAAACTTTAAAAAGACGTAATTGGGCATTCGCCCTTCTTCCAATTCTACCTCACATGAAAAATAGGTACAACGTTTTAAGATGGAAAAATAAAGCAATAAAGAATGATATTCCCAGATGAAGGTTGGAACTGGGATGCTTTTATTAGGAACAGCAGCAAAAGCTGTAACATTCAAACAAGAGGAGCATGGAAGCAATGTAAAAAGAAAGAACGTGGGGCTTGTTTGTATTGCAAAACTATTATTTATCTTGGATAAGGCTGCAAATTGCAATGTGCTTTATAAGTGTCAGAACAGACATATCTAAAGGTAAAGATATGAGATTCACTGTTTGGATCGACATGGACTTAGTGAAGCAGCACCTGGAGTAAAGATTTCAGTTAGCAACTAGGAAAGACTCCATAAACAGTTTCTTGAGTGACAATTAAGGCATTTTCTTCGTATATCCCTTTTCACAGGTATTTCGAGAATTTGATCACTTTAATTTTAACAGTCTATATAGTTGTAACTCCAAGATGATTGGGATCAAGATGATGTGTTTCCTCGCTTGAAAATTTTTACAAATGATTTAAATCATGTAGTTAACTCCAACTAGTTTGGTTTTGAGGTGTAGATTGCTTAATCGAACGAATCAGTAGCAATTTATCAAACCAAGTGAAGTCGTTCTTGCGTCCGAATAAAGCATCAAGTATGGTAAGCCTTTACTCGAGATTATCGCTATAGCCTACTAATCACCAACCTGCTTAACACTCTCTGAATAACTTGAGCAAAACACACTTCATTGTAATGGTAAAAAAGCTTCACCTATCAAAGAGTATCCTAGCAAATAGCATAATCAAGAAATTGCTTACCCATAACCAGGCAAATCCACAATGTACCAACTCTTGTTCACCAAGAAATGATTAATCAGCTGAGTCTTCCCTGTACATTTAAACATACTAAAATTAGAATCCACCTCTAATTAAAATATGTACCGAGTTAATACTCCACTTATTCCAATTTATGTGACCCTATTTCCTTTTGAGACTGTTTCAAAATGAACGTCCTTATACATTTGAAAAAAACAAAAACTTAGAACTTCTCATTTTACCCTTAACGACAATCTTTTATAGCACATGTTTAAGACCATAAGTTTTACCAAACTTATAGTCACATGAACATTATATGCCTCAGTCCCAAAAAACAAAACTGGGGTCGGCGATATAAATCCTCACTTCTTTCTTTAAGCTCAACTTATATCATTATCATGCCAAACTTGCATGGTCTTATGGGCAACGCATCCATTTGCTCTAGAAGGATCAGCGGATCGAAACCTTCTCCTTACATTGACTCCGCCTGTGTGAGCTTGATTATGTTGCCGGTCATAGGCGGATCCAGGATTTAAATTTTATGGGTTCGGATTCTCAATTCTACCACATAGTCATCTAATTTAATGGGTTCAAAATTTATTATGTGTATATATTTAATGATTATTTGGACAAAAATACAGGGTATGAGCGGAAGTCATGGATTCAGATGAACCCATAGCTTATATACTAGATACACCTCTGTTGCCGGTCCCAAGCTCGGATAAAGGAGGAAAGTTGCAGTAGGCTGACAGCCAGCATAAAACTTGCCAATTCGTAATGAATCCTCATAATACAGTCACTATGACATATTTAAGACTACAAGTTTCAGAATTCTTCATTTCTTTCCTAAATTCCATGTTCGGTCAAATTATGTCACATAAATTGAAACGAATGGATACTTAAATTCAACTAATGCAAACGGGCTCTAAATAAGAAGTGCATTGCAAATATTCAAACCTGGTTTCTTAGAAGTAAGAGCAACCTCTTTCTTCTTACACAAAGCATTAATAAGCGATGATTTTCCAACATTGGACCGACCCAACATAGCAAATTCAGGTTTCTCATCTTTTGGACAATCCTTAGGCTTATTACTACTCTTCACAAATGCCACCTCTTTAATTTTAGAGTCCCCCGCATAGGGCCCCACAACGATATTGGATCCGGGTAAAATCATATCTTCGGTTATATCTTCGGGTTCAACTCCTGGAGCCATGAATAATACTTTCTTTGCTAATATTGAAGCTGCTGATTCTGAAGTTGTAGCTGAAGATTTAAAGGTTTTTGAAGTAAAGGCATGAATAGAAAAATGGGGATTTTTTGGGTATGAATTTTGAGATAAAGGGATTTTGGGAAATGAAGAAAGGAATTTGGTAGATTGAGGGAGAGTGGAGAAGAGATGGAAATTGAAGAGGCGAAACCTTGACATTACTTGCATTTTTAGCTTAATTCTAGTTCAATGGCTGCACTGCAATGGTTCTACAGTACACTACTTATCGTTCCCAAGATATTTTTAACTTTCAATTTTTTATTTAAACATTAATAAATTTAAATTTTTAAAATAAAGTGTATATAGTTAGAATTAAATATAGAAATAAAATTAGTCGTAAATTGCTACATTTTATTATAAAAAGATTTAAATGTGGAATGTAAAACCGTAATAATCTTTGTATGTTATAAACAATCGATATGACACACTGTTTGTCGGTCTTGAATGGTATTTAGACATTTCGGTTTGGTATTTTCGATATTCCGTTTTGTAAAATGCTATACACCGTATATAATTAAATTTGCTATACTTCGATTTTTCTCCTTTCGGTTTCAGTTTATTCGGTTCGATTTTTGATTTATTCGGTGTGAATACTAACTAGTGCATAGAGTCATAGACGATAATATTCTTAATTAAATTACTCAAAAGTACAAAAATAAAAACGTTTGTTGATAAAAGTTTTGTCCATTACCAAACAAATACCAACCTAGAGAGAGAAAACAATTAGAGAGTTAATTGATAAACTTAGAGAATAAAGGAAAGTAAAATTTTAGATTTCTTATATTTATGTTATAATTAATAAAATGTGTATTGTGTATTATAATATATATTTCGGTACGGTATCGGTATTTTGGTATTTCATTTTAAAATACCAAATACCATACCTAATACCAATTCTTTTTTAAAACTAAAACCAAATACCATACCAAGTGGTCGTTCGACCGGCTATGCTGTATGGGGCTGAGTGTTGGCCAGTCAAGAACTCTCACGTGCAGAAGATAAAAGCAGTAGAGATGAGGATGTTGAGATGGATGTGTGGGTGTGCCAGGAGAGATAGGATTAATAATGAAGCTATCCAGGACAGAGTGGGAGTAGCCCTCGTGGAGGACAAGATGCGGGAGTCGAGGCTGAGATGGTTCGGACATGTTAAGAGAAAAAGCATTGATCCTCCTGTCAAGAGGTGTGGGAGGTTGGCCATGGAGAGTTTGAGAAGAGGTCGAGGTAGGCATAAGAAGTACTGGGGAGAGGTGATAAGACAGGACATGGCGCTACTTCAGCTCGATGAGGACATGACCCTTGATAGGAGGGTGTGGAGGTCGAAGATTAAGGTAGAAGGTTAGTGGGTAGTTTTTAGTTATTCACCGATAGTCTTAGTAGCATGCATGTCCCTTCATATTCTTAGATTTTTATTACGTTATATGGTTTTGTTGTCTCAGGTATTGTATTCCATGTTCCTATTATTTGGTACTACTTATCGTTTATCTCTCTCTTTTACTTTTCTCTTCCTTCTTTCTTCCTTCCTTGCTTTCCTCTCCTTCTTACCCTTCACGAGCCGAGGGTCTATTGGATACAACCTCTCTACCTGCATTAGGTAGGGGTAAGGTCTATGTACAGACTACCCTCCTCAGACCCCACCTATTAGGATCATACTGGATTTGTTGTTTTAACCAAATACTATACCGAATACCAAAATATTAAATATCGAATACTAAAGTTTTCAATTTTGATACGGTAATTCGGTATTTACCAAATTATGCACATCCCTAATCAAGTGTAATATGAGAATTTTCAGATAAATTGTAAATTACTCAAAAAGTAATGGTGTACTGTAAATGAGTAAAAGGGAATACGATAAAAAAACTTGCTAGTCCTTCCACAAGGGGAATAGTTATTCATACAAAGTATATTACTCCATTCGTTTCAATTTCAATGATATAGTTTGACATAAAGTCTACAAAAAATAAGACTTTTAAAATATATGACGTTAAAAGCTTAAGTGGCATAAATTTAGTGCTATGATATTTTTGTGACGATAAAAGCTTTTTATTAAGGGTAAAATGAATAAAATAAAAAGTTTAATGTTAAACTATTTCTAAATATAGAAATGTGTAATTTTTTTAAAACGAACTAATAAGAAAAAATGTGTCATTTAAATTGAAACGGAGATAACTTCAAATGATAGTTAAATTACAAATTTTAAGAAACAATGCATACAATTAATTATGACAGATTATAAAAGTGTATGTAGAATGATAAGTACGTCATATATTCATTGTTTTAATGTGGATCCGAATTGCTATTGGCTGTTGGAAACTTACATAAATATCCCAAATAAGTCTTGACTTACTAACCTCTAGCCATTAGGCATAGACTTACCAAAACTAATCAAGCACATATAAAAATTGAATAACCAAATAAATAAGGTTCTTTCTCTCAAAGAATCAGATGCAAAAATCTCCTTCCATATTTTTAAGCGTTATTAGCAATATTAGATGCAAGACGGAAAGAAAATTTCATGGATGAAGTAGCAAATAAGGTGATGAAATACAAAAATAATAATAATATTAATAATAATAATAATAATAATAATAATAATAACACAATATTTCAAAAATCTAAGCAAAAAATGAACTTTTTCAATGGGTATAGTTGAAATTCATTGAAAATACATAGATAAGTCAATATACAAATTTTGAGGAAGATTGAAGGTGATTTGGACTGATTTTGTATCAAAATTCGTAATTAAATCGAGATAATAAAATTCTTTTGTGACACATGTATCAAACATGTATCATGCATGTATCTCACACACAGACATACATGTGATACACAATTGATACAAATATGATACATAAGTGATACACGGTGTGATATACATATCAATTTTTTTTCATGTTCAGTTTTTACTTCGAATTTTCAATAACCACCTCAAAACTTCACCAAATCATCCCAAAATTGAGATTCAAGCTCTTTAAGATGTACCAAATCTATTCTAATAATACTCACTCAAAAGAAAGCAAAAATTTGATCCTTTTTTGCTACAAATAGTTAATTAGCTAATATTAATAATATTTGACTAATATTAACAATATTTTATGAATTAAATAATTTTTATAATGAGCTACTTATAAATAGACATAGCCGATAATTTCCCTTGGCTTTTTGATCCATCCTAACGTGACAAGTTGGGCTTATGTTGGATTATGTGTTTAACAAAAATGTAAACTAAGGAAATTTTCAACGATGGCCGAAATGAAAATTGACGGTCCACTACGGAAGAGGTTTTTGCATATATACTCGGTTTTTGGGTCATAATTGAACTTATACTTATTTTTTTAAAAAGTTTGCAAGCATGCCCACTTTACGATCAACTTCAGACTTATGTGTTTGAAGTTAAAAAAAATGCCTGAAGTGAAAAAATTGTACTTCAAATGCACTTAACGCCAAATAGGTCTAAAATGCAACCAATGGTTTCATGCACTTAAGGCTAATAAGTCAGAAGTGAAAATTTGCACTTCAGATGCACTTAAGGCCAATAAGTTTGAAGTGAAAAATTGCACTTCAGATGCATTTAAGGCCAAAAGTGCAACAAACATTTTTATTCACGTAAGGCCAATAAGTCTGAAGTGAAAATTTGCACTTCAGATGCACTTAAGGCCAAATTGGTCTGAAGTGTAACCAATAGTTTCATGCACTTAAGGCCATATAAGTCTGAGTGAAAAATTGTACTTCAGATGCACTTAAGGCCAAAAGGTCTGAAGTGCAACAAACGTTTTGCTACACTTAAGGCCAATAAGTCTGAAGTGATAAATTATACTTCAAATGCACTTAAGGACAAAAAGTCTGAAGTGCAACAAACGTTTACATTCGCTTAAAGCCAATAAGTCTGAAGTGAATTGCCCAGAAACAAAAATTTGTTCTTTGAATTATAACAATCCAATATACGATTTAATACCTAAATCTATTCCAAATGAGCTCAAATTTGAAACATAACCTCCAAATATCATCAGGAACAAACCTCAATCATCAATTTCTCAAAACAATAATAAATCTAATGAAACCATTTTGCAATTAAAAACATAAAAGAAGAAATCTGAAGCAATAGTAAAAAATAAAGCGTCATAACAACTCACCATTGTAAAACATCATAAACTACATTAAAATATATTCACAACCACCATATAAAATCATTGTCACCCAAAGAAGAAGAAGAAGAAGAAGGAGGAGGAGGAGGAGGAGGAGGAGGAGGAGGAAAAAGAGGCCTGAAGTTGTTTAAAAAGTGGTACAAGTTAAAACTTTTTAAAAAGTGGGTATACATTAAATAGGGGCGACCAAATAGGGCGTCCCGTGCAATTTTTACCGTTGCATGTTACTCGTTTATATCGGGAAAACAAAAATAGGCACATTTACACTTGGTAATTGAAAAATAGCAACAATTTCAAAAATAATCAAAATTTAGCTATTTTCTTTATGTAAAGATAAAATCTAAAAAACAAACACCCTGAAAATCAGGAAATATTCCAACTTAATATGTTGGAGTTAATCTTTTTTACATATGAGTTTCCAGCATAATATGCTGAAATTTCACAATGTGTTGGAGTTCCAACATAATATGCGGGAAGTTTATATGCAGGAGCTTTGTAATCTCGCATATTATGCTGGAAATTTCCATGTGTTGGAGTTCCAACATAATACGCTGGAAGTTTATACGCAGGAGCTCTATAATCCGGTATATTACGCTGGAACTTTTCGTATTTCAGCAAAATAGTGCCTATTTTTCAATGCCTTGCAAACACTGGCTATTTTTCGATTACCAGTCCGAAAAATAACTTTACAAACGTTGGCTATTTTTTAATTATCAATCCGAAAAATGACTTTTGACACTGGCTACACTTTAGAAATGTTGAAGTGTGGAAGGTAATTTTTATCTGCAAAGTCCATAAATCAGGGGTAACTTATCCATTTTGCTGACTTTTTCTTTTAAGATTATTGCGTGCACCATAAAAAAGATATCTAACAAATTTTTAATATTTCGTTCTATTTTGATTTGAAAGTACATATGGGCGAAACAGAAGACAATAGTGCACAAAGAAATGTCTCCACTTCATTTCACCAAAGTTTTTATTTATTTATTTTTCCTTTACACTCATGTAATTTAGAAAATAATTATATATCTCAATAAATTAGCTGGAGTAGAACATATACGTTATCAATTAACTTTTCT